GGCGGCGGGGGAGCGGCCGCGGCGCATGCCTGGCCGCCTGCTAAAGAGGCGCCAGGGCCACGACGGCCATCGGGTCAAGCCACCAGCTTGGGCTCAAGACACCGAAGACGACCTCTGCGGAAGCCCGGAAGCCGCCGGGGCAAGCCGCGCGCCGCGCAGCCGTGCGCAGGGCAGCGAACTCCCTCGCGGGCCGGCGCCCGCGCGCCGCCCCGCGCAGGTGCGGCGCCGGCCGCCGCCCCCAGCATGCAGCGGTGGCCGAAGGCAACCGGCAGGCGGCCGACCCCGGCGAAGCGGGCCGCGGTGGCGCGGACCTGGGCCGCCCCCACCGCACAGCGCCGGGCTGGGCCGGCGCCCGCCGCGACTCCTAAGTCGTGGAATCCGGGCTGCGCTACCAGAGCGGGGGCCTGCTCGGCCAGCCACCCCGGGAGCGCCCCTCCGTTGACGAACTGTCTGCTCTTCCCTCGGTTGAAGCCCCAACCAATCGCTGTCTCGAAAGCGTCCGTGACCCTCGGCGCGCCCGCCGCCGCCTCGGCAGCATCCGCGGCGCAAGCGAAGGCAACGCGCATCCACAGGGCGAAATCGCCCACATACACCCGACGGCGCAAGCGGCTGTCGAGCCGGCGGACCTTGCAGCTCCACGGCCAAGTCAGGATGCTCAGGATGAACACCACCAGCGGGCAACCCGGCAGCAGCCCGCAAGAGGGAACCCACGCGTCCCCGATCGCGCTGCCCACGCGGAGGCGGCGGCGCGCCCGGCAAGCCCCCATCGCCGGCTCGACGATCCAGGCGGGCACGCCCGCGCGCGCAAGGAGGCCCGGGAGGGATGCCAGGTCGACCCCGTCGTAAGCCGTCCGCCAATCAAGCGCCGCCCCCGCCACGCACTCGGACAGCGCCTCGGCGGCCTCCAACTCGAAGGCCGACTCCCACGCCAGCTCCTCCGCTCCTAACCGCATGTCCTCGCCAGCCCACTGCAGCCGCCGGCGGGCAAACACCTGTGCCCTGCCTGCGGACCATAGTCGATAGAGGATGGGGAGCAGGCAAATCGGCCGACGATCCAGTGGGCTCTCCGTGCTGCCCCCAGGCTTGGGCAGGAGTAGCCCCTCAGGCTCCACGAGCTCGCTCGGCCACGCCCCCCTGGCCTCCACAGCATCGAACAAATCGGCGATCCAGCTGTGGAACGCCTCCGGGAGCAGCCAGAGCTCGCTGATGGTCCAAGCGTCTAGGCCCGGCTTTTTCCTCCTGGGCATCTTGCGGAACAGAGCTTCAACCGCGGCTGCCGTCCATGGCGCTCGCTCTGGAAAGGGAGGGGGACCATCGAGCTCCTGCATCCACTCTTCCCCCAACGCTGGCGCCGCCTGCCGCTGCCAGAGCCCACGGCACGGCCCCTCGAAGAACCGCAGCTGCGAAGCCGGCCCCCCTCGCAGGGCGAGCACCCATGACCTCTGCCCCACGGCGCCTTCAGGCGAGGCAGGGGCATCGGCCGCAGGATCAAGAACCATCTCGGCCTCGAGCACGCCGCCGCCGCGGATCCAGCGGTACAGCCGGCCCTGCCCATTAGCAAGGGCGTCCTGGACCCACTCACGCCAAGCGCTGCGCCGCCTCGCGTTCGCGTCCCCCCTTGCGGCCTGCCACGCGGCCTCCGTGCGGTCCAACAACGCCTGCGGAAGCGGCGCGGTCTCCTGCAGACCCGCCAACTGAAGTGACCACTCGGGATGTCCAGCGTCCGCGGCCCGGAGGGCCCGGAGGGTCGCCTGGGCCACTCGCCTGGAGGCCGTCGAAGGGCGGCCCTGAGCGTGCCGAAGGCCGCGGAGGCGACGGAGCCGCAACAACGCAGCGTCGGCTACAGCGTCGGCGGCCTCCTCATTCCCGCCGGCTGCTGGCGGCCGCTCGGCACGTCTTGCGGCAGCTGCGTGCGGCCGCGCTGGAGTCGCAGGCAGGCCCCGCCGCGCGGCGAGCCATGTGCGCATGGCCAGGCTGAGGCTCGACCATGCCGCCTCAAGGTCGCCTTTGTGAAGCGCTTGCTGGAAGCCCGCCCCGTGCGCCGCGACCACCGCCGCCGTGGTGTCCCGCGCAGCCTCCTGGTTCCATCCAGACGTGGCCAAGCCGTCCAGAGCTGGGACGGGCTGGCGGATCCAGGTCACCTCAGGAGCACACTCAGCCGCAGGGCACACACAGCCGCAGGGCGGATCCAGAGGTACGTGCCTGAACGCCGGCGACGTCGGTTTAGCATGGGTCCCGAGAACCTCGAACAGCTCGCGCAACTTCGTGCATCCCTGGAGCTCGTCCTGCTTGACCGACTGCGACATGCACTTGGCAATCACCTGCCCGCACTTGGCGGCACGAAAGCTGGTCGAGGACCCGTTTCGCGCCGACGCGAGTCTGACGCTCGTGACGGCAGGGGAGCTTGGAGCTGCGGGCCTGGACAATGAGAGCAAAGCACCTTCGAGACTTGAACCGCTGAGGTTACGACACGCACCATTACAACGATCAAACCATTCAGCAAGCAGTAATATGACGATGACGATGGCGAAGGTGATGATGGTGGTGGTGATGACGAGGGTGGTTGAGGTTCCTGCTCCTGCGCGGTAGGTGCTCGATAAAACAAGGATCCAACTTTACGGTTTGGGGAACATCGGCACCAACGAGGGTTGTTGTTTGGGCTGGGACATCCACAACGTCAGCGTTTGTCCTGAAAGGGTCCTCGCGGAGGTTGTAAAGAATTGGCAGACATGTCGGGCGAACTTCGGGGACGGAAAAACTCCCGGGCTCGCTGGTCCAAGTCGAAGTTCCCGGTGTTCGAAACTCTGAGTAGATATACTAGATTGTGTTAGCGGCCTGATTCCCGGGTTCCTGGTCCTGGCTCTTGGTGAAAGTTCCCTGCCGATTCCAGTGGGCGGCTGGGTTCACGGGGTTTCAAAATAGAGAACGAAGGAATCGGACACAGCAGCGATATTGATAGGAAGTCGGAACAAATTCCAGTTGACCTCGCCAGCTCATTCTGCCAGTCTAAATCAACTCAACCAACCAGCCAGCCTACCCAACCCGCCACCCCGCCACCAAGCCAACCCTCCAATCAGCCACCCAGCCCAACCAACCATCGCGCCACCCCGCCACCCAGCCAACACCGACCAAACCCAACTCATCCAGCCAGCCAACCCAGCCACCCTGCCACCCAGCCAACCCTCTAACGAGCCTCCCAGCCAAACAAATCAGCCTGGCACCCCGCCACCAACCGCCCAGCCCAACCAGCCACCCCGCCACCCCGCCAACCCACCCACCCCGGCCATCTGCCCTCTGTCACCGCCGAAACGGGGGGAAATGCTTAGTACCAAAGAAAACAAAAAACATCTGTTTCCTGGGATCCAGCAGGACAGCGGGGGGGGGGGCAAATCGAACCGCACCGTGTGGGACCAGGCTTCGCGCCGCGGTATGCCGGGGACGGTTACGGGCCTCAAGTGCGAGATAGTCGTCACTTTTGAAACTTTCATCGAGCCCCCTTTCTCAGCGCGAAGGCTCCCATCGTCGTAACTGTCGTCACGTTTGAGGCCCCGCACTGGGGTTCTTGGAAGGCCACCCAAAACGGTCCGTGGGAGGATCTCCTGGGGCAGGAGCCCGGGGCAGCCCCAGGAGGCCGCAGGAAGCTCCAGGGGGTGCCACGCGACCCCAGGCGCTCCAAGCAGGCAACTGGAGATCCCAGGAGGCTCCAGAAGGACGCAGACAGCACTGGAAAGCCTCAGAGGGCTGAGGCGGCGCCAGGGGGCGTCAGGACGTCCCAGGAGGCCCCAGGAAGCCTCAAGAGGCCCCAGGCGGCCCCGCGAATTCCCAGGAGGCCCCAGGAGATCCCGGAAGGCCCTGGACGCACCCTGAGCACCCAGGTCCCAGGAGGGTGTAGGCCGCCCCGGGAGGCACCAAGGAACATAATAGAACCCTGGAGGTCACAGGAGACCGCAGGAAATCCCAGGAGGTCGCAGGAGGCACCGGGAGGCCCAAGAAGGCCAAAGGAGACTCTAGGAGGCCCCTGAAGCCCAAGGAGACCTCCAGAATTCCAAGGAGGCCCCTGAGATCCCATAGTCCATCACGCCTGAGGGGGGGGGAGAAGGAGGAGCAGGAGGAAACTTCCAACTTCCAACAGCCTCGGGGCGAACCTTCGGCGAAAGGACGAGAGAGGAGGAAGCGACAACAAGACGCTCCACAGAGTAAACTGCATCCAGTTGGTTTCTACCCCTGTGAGAGGCGTTACAGGGTAGGTATACTGCATAAAGAAACTGGCAGAAAGAGTAATTAGCGAGGGAGAGAGAGAGAGAGAGAGAGACAGAGACAGAGAGAGAGAGAGAGAGCAGAGGGTAGAGAGTACACGATATCAGACAATAGGGACAATATAAGCAGGGGGAAACATAAACAGAGAACGCGAGAGAGAAAGAGAGAGAGAGAGGGAGAGAAAAAAAGAGAGAGAGAGAGAGAGAGAGAGAAAGAAAGAAAGCCCAGAACGCATGAAAATATTCCACGTCGACATGGCTACGGGCTACTGCGACTGAGCCTGAAGCTGGGCGTCTGCGGCTGGACCTGAACCTGAAACTGGAGCTGGAGTGATGGATGCGAAGACAGACTGTGCAAAGCAAAAACCCGCACTAAATCCTTTCAATCTCCAGACTCCGCGCTGGCCACGCGCTCGTCGCATCGGCACATGCATTGCACGCGCACGCACACCTCTATGCAGTAGCGCGTACGCGCAAGCGTGTGGGCGCATGCACAAGCGCAGAGGATACTGAACTGCAGCCTTCCGTCTCATTGCGTCATTATCACCTGCTCGCTACTCCTGAGATCATGTTCTCAATCCAAGTAACTGTTCCTCCGCCACCAGCGGTCCCGGCCATGCTGCCAGCCCCAGACCTCCGACGCCGTCACCTTCCCAATCCGTGGGCCCCAAAGTCCTGGACCCCCTCCCAGGTACTGGATTCTCCCCCAAGGCCGTCTCTCTGGAAGGCGCCGGGGCCGAAACATCACCCTTGGAGGTCATGCTTTATGAGATCACAGCGTCGGAGGTCCAAGGCTGGCGGCCGCGGCGCCTTCAGCAGCGCGCGCACCAGCGGCGAGGGCTCCCGGGCCGCGGCCGCGGCCGCCTGCAGTCCACCTCCCGAGGCCCGCCCTGACGGCCGGCGCGCCGGTGCCGGCGAGGGCGCCGGCCCTGGGCACTCCGGCGCCGGTTCCAAGGCCACCGGCGACGACGCGGGCGCGGGGCCCTGCAGCTCCGTCGGCGGCGGGGCCACTGGCACGGGCGCTGGCGTGGCGGAGGCGGGCGCTTCAGCCGGGCACGAGGCAGCGGGCGCGGGGCCCGGCAACTCCGTCGGCGGCGTGGCCACTGGCACGGGCGCTGGCGTGGCGGAGGCGGGCGCGTCAGCCGGGCACGAGGCAGCGGGCGCCGCCGCGGTGGCCGCCGCCACCGGCGCAGCTGGGGGCGTCGGCGCACCCACAGGCGCAGCCTTGGGGGGTGCCGCCTGAGCTGCAGCATCCACGTCGTGGGCCTCCCGTTGGGCATCTTGGGGGCCTCTCGGAGCATCCTGTGGGCCTCTGAGACCGTCAAGGGGTCTGCCGTCCTGCATGTGGACGCTTCCACTGGGGCCGCGTGGGTGGAGGCGCGTTCCTCGCGGGGGGGGCCCCGAACCCAAAACCTCGGGAGGGCTGCGGCGGAGAAGGGGGGAGGGAGTTAGCGTGGCTTTACGGAAAAAAACCCGAGGCCCCAGCAACACAGGAAAGCTGACATAACCGTCTCCAGCTGGGCCTACTTTTGCCTCCCCCCTCCCTTCCCCCCCCCATCTTTACCCAACTCATGCCCAACAGGGCCAATATGATCAGGATGTACTGGTGGCAAATGCGGTGCTCCTAGCAATGGTTCCAAGGGGCGTTTTGGGCTCGAGGATCCCCGAGAGACCATGGCGGCAATGTGAACGGCGACAGCCGTCAAAATATGAGGTTCGACTGTCCGTTAAGCGGATAGGGAGATTAGAGAATATGTTGTCGCGCGCGCTTTTCCTCTCTAGTCCCAAACACCTGTGGATTAGTCAATGCACTGTTCAAGGCAGTAGAAGTACATATGTAAATGGCGGCAGGGAGACGCGTGGCAACGACTCCCACCGCGGCGGCCCGGCCGCGGCAGCCGGCCAGGGCCGACGTTGCACCATCGGAACCTCGCGTCACCGACGGCGCCGAATTGAGGCGGGCCTGGGCGCGAGGCTCACACTGCCACCACCATCCGGGCGCGCCACAATTTAGCCACCATCTCGCCATGGGCTTATGGTGCTTTGACCAGTTCAGCCACCATCTCGCCATGGGCTCACGGTACTTTAACCGGTTCCAGCCGTCGCCGCGTCGCCAGGGCCAGTCCCGGGCGTCGCCGCGGCGGTCTCCCCAGCTATCGCGACCGCCCTTGCCGCGGTCGCCCTTGCCCGCTCCCTTGCGCGCACTCCAGCCTCCGATCGTGCCAGGGGCGCGGGCTGGAGTCGGGCTGGCCGTGCCGGGGTCTGGATGGAGCTGCGCCGCTCCGGACCGGCTCGCGCGCGTCCGAGTAGCGGCATGGCCGCGCCTTCGCCGAAGGCGGGGGCGCCGCGCGGTCGCCCGCCTCTGCGGCGGCTCCTTTGTTCCTCGCGCGCCATGGGCAACCTAGAGGTTCGGCGCTCCTGATCAGGGCCGAGCGCTGCAACTCCGCGCTGTCCCCGAATGGCGAGGGCATGCGCAGCTGCCTCGCGCACATGCAGCGGCCACCTCTCGACCGCGGCGTGCTGGAAGGTGTCCGGCGCCATGCGCAATCCGCGCCTGAGCGCTCTGGCTTCCGATTGCTGCAGGTACTGCATGCGCGCCTCGATCTTGTGGGCGTCAATCGAGATAGGCGGCGCATCAGCCCGATTCAGGTACATGTCGCGGTAGACCAGGTCCAGCGCATCTCGATGAGCTTTGAGGAGGTGAACTTCATTCACCAAGCTAGCTCGGCACTGTCCGACCTCCGCGAGATGAGTCCGCATGGCGCCCTCGTCTGCGGTCTCTGGGTCAATTTCGGTCCGCTCAAAGTCCTTGGCGAGCTGAATGGCCACTCTGTAGACCTGCTCCGACATCCACTTCGGCTTCTGTGAGAGGGAGTCGGGGTCATAGACGCAAAAGTCTGGCGGGTCAAACCACAGCTCGCGGATTCTCGCCGCGCAGGAGGAACGTCTCCAGCGCGATGATGTTCCTCAGGCTCGTCGGCGGCAGCAAAGTATGTTACGAGTTCCTCTGCCGCCCTCGTAATGCTGTAGACATCAAGGCGCAGCAGGTCGTCTGGGTGGTGGGCATCGCGCTCTGTAGCATGCGACTTTGCACGTTTGCGCACGGCGTTGCCACCAAATTCCCGATGCGCGTCTTCTGTCTGCAATCGCCTCGTGCGGCTGCGGGATCTGCCGCGCTTGCCACGGGCAGCGGCAGATGGCCCGACCGAGACCGACTTGTTGATTTTTCCCCTCGGGATGTTGTCTTCGCCATCTCTATCTTCCTCCTCGAAATCGGCCAGAACCTCCTTTGGGGACCAGACCCTGTCAATATCTTCCTGAATCAGTGGCCAGAGGTCCCATAGGTTCCTTGGCAGGATATCTCGGTTGTCGGTGCACCAGGCGTCCCATCACATGCTAGGCGCGAACTTCTCACGGGCGCCAGGGTCCGTGGTGTCCCAGCCGAAGACGTTGAGGATGTCACTGTCCGTGCCCGCGTCGGTCAGGTCGACATGGCGAGATAGTTACGCCCACCATGTCCATGACGGGCAAAGAGCATTGTAGCCAGTAGGCGGCTGGCGGCGGTATTCTTGATAGTGTAGCCATCTGCGCGCCAGCTTGTGTACATTTCCTTCGCGCACCCTGTTGCCATGGGCAGGGCGCTTCTCTGTCGGCGACGACGGGGCCCAGGCGAACGCTGACCTTTCCGCCGATAACGTGGCCGTCTTTCCCGCCACTGCAGAGTAGTAGCGATTCAACGCTGTTTTTGGAGTGTCCTTACTCCAGTTCTCTTGCCAGCGACCGTATGTTCTATCAGAATCCTGTATGTGAGTGGCTCTGGCCCTCTTTTGGAGGCTTCCCCTGCCGCTCCGTTCATGGAACGCGGCAGCAGGGTGTCGAGGCCACCCACTATACATCCCGACATGTCTCCGATCCAATGCAGGCCGGAGCCGATTGGGCTGCCGCTGGGGCGGCACGTAGAGAATCTCTTCGTGGCACACGGCGCATGCCATCATGCCGCATCGTGTCTTGTGCCCCAGATGGTAGACGAGGCGTATGTCGTCTTCCCAGGTGGGGGGCTCCTTGACGCCCTGCCACAAGACGACGTCCAGCCTGTCCTCAGAGACGTTGTTCAAGATCCGTTGACCCGGCTCCAGGAAGTCGATGCACCCCGTATGCGGGAGAGGGGCGACCTGCAGCATGGCGAGGCGCCGGTCATATAGAAGACGTGCCACGTGAACTTGTCACTCGGGGCTTCCAGCACTGCGAAGATCCGCCAAATGTCTTTACATTGAGGGGTGCGGTCCGTGAAAATCTGACCTGGCGGAAATATTCAGCGCGGGTGAGCCCCAACGTGCCTCGGGCTCAGAGCGGCGAAGAACGTCCCTTCAGGACGAAAGGGCCGAAGTCGAGGACAGTCTTATTGGTTGTGCCGTCGAAGTCCCTTGACACCCCGTTCTGATGAATAAATGTCGGGGAATTGTCCTCCAACTCGGAACGTACCTTTTGGTCATCTCGTTCACAGGGATCCCTGGCCTCTGGAAAGCACAGAAAGGCTCATATATGTCTTTTACCGCGTTCAGATCATGGATCATCTTCGCGCGCGGCGAGAGGGCAATAGTGAAGGCCGCGGTTCAGTATTGACGCAGCCCCGTGGCTGCGTCCATCAGTGGGGCCGCCTCGCCGCCCAGGGGGCCACCGCGCACGGCACGGACGAGAAGGGGACGAACGGCAGGGACCATGAAGATCTGCTCGTCGTCGCTGCCCCCAAGGGCCGCGTTTGGGTCGCCAGCGGCGTCCGAGGCGCCGGCCCCTTTGAGAACGATATCAGCGAAACTGCTACCCCAGTCCAAGGGTTGGGATGTCGGGCCTTCCGTTGCTGAGTCCATCTCAGCACCAAGTATCTGAATGCCCTTTGGATGAGGCATCGACATGGCGCGGAGAAATCTGGACCACGGGCGGTCGCAACCGACATGCGTCAGCATGTGTATCAGCACGTCGACCTCCACCCATCCTCCCGAGCTAAGCACGTGGGCCGAGCTGTGGCGGAGCAGGTGGATCACCAACCCTCCTAGCCGTAGAGCTTCATCTTGCCCCAGCTCGCTTGCGATGGCATAGAGCCTGGAACGCATATGTGGGTACATTGGCACCAAGTCATGGTCCGGGCCAGGCCCTGAGGTAGTTCTCCACTCTGCCGCGCCCATCAGCCGCCTTAGGTGCTCCAAGAGCGGGTCGGCCACGCAATCTGCGCACGCGGACAGCCCGTCACTGGCGAGCGTTCGGCCGAGTCGTTGTCGCGGGAGCATCGGTCCATTATTGTGAAGCTCGTCGACGTAGCGGGCACGAGGAGGCGAAATCGCCCTCAGGTTCTCTCTGACGAAACCATCCGTTGCCAGGAGGGCGCGGCGTCGCCCGTCAGGAAGAAAGCCTATGTAGGACAACTCTTCGTGCTCCAACTCGAGCCCCTCGAGGCCCAGCTGGCCTTCAATTTTCTCGTGGAGCCGTCTGAACTCGAGTTATGAGATCTGCATATTTCTGGGGAGCGGCGGGGTTCCTTCGAACGAGAAATAATCCATGTCGAATGGAGAGCCCTGCTTCGTGTCATATGGTTTCGTCTCGGGGTCGATCTGTGTCAGTGGGATACCAGCATGGCCGGTCCCATCTGACGACTCCCCTTCCTCTTCTCCTTGTGAGTCATCAGCGTGGCTGACCTCGCACGACCCCGCAGTCCCCATAGACTCCTCCTCTTCATCAGTCTCGGGGTCGGATTCAGAGTCGACGTTGTTCTCAATCTCCTCGTTGCACCATTCCTCGCATGGTCTTTTCTCGTATTCTATGATGTTGGAGGAGTGCGCCTCCGCCACGGGCGTCGGCCCATCGACTGTAGTTCAAGTGCCTCGGAGGGCGTCGATCCAGATGGACGGCCGTCATGTTCTTGCAAACGTAGCATTGGCGAACTAGAGGAATCTCATCTCCCTGACGAACCGCCCGATAGGTCGGTCGGAAGCACGCTACCGTTGGGCATAACCATACTTGCTGGACCAGGGCCGCCGCGGGCGAGGCTCGCGCGCTCTTGCGGCGCATGGAGATGAAGGCCTCTTCTGGCAGCGGCGGCGGCGGGAAACCGGGCGCCCCGTCTCTGGGATCAGGCCGCTGATCGCTGGGCACCCCTGCGGGGTACTCGAGGCGTACCCGACAGTTAGCCGTGAACGAGCGATCGAAGCCCGCATGCCCGATGTCGCCCC